CCAGGACCAATGCCGACCAGGACCTACTGTCCGTCGTGACCATCTACACGTCGAACCGTTGCCATGGGAGCCATGCTGGAACCAGAGGTTTAACCATGGAAACACAACCTACAATACATCACCAGCAAGCTCCATGGCAAAATGTTGGATTCTCCATTCACCCTGTGCCATGTAAGCAATCCTAGAGCCCAAACAAGATTTTAGCTGAAAACCACCGGGATGGACCGGGATTACAAATGACGGGGGTGCCAATTTCAAGGATTTTGAGATGAGGATGTGATTTAGACCGAGAATATGAATTCAAGGTTCATTTTAGACTTTTCTCTACATAGTGATTGTTATAAATTACTAAGAGTGGGGGCACCATACTCTTTCACTAAGCCATATGTTTTAAACAACTCTTATGGAAGTAATCAAACACCCACTGATCTAGAGGCAATGATTAAAGAATGTATCACTTCCCAAAAAGAACTAAATAATTTTTTTTGCAGAAAAAAATGATAGAATGGGAGTTTTATTTGATAAGGTGGAAACAATTGCTAATGATGTAGAAACTTTAAATATGAAATGTTCTACACCTATGTATGGTATTGAAGTCTCTTAAAAGGATGGATGGATGTTGTGGTATTCAGTCGGATGAGATTATCGATGCCGGCCCCGCCGAGTGATCCTTCGAATAGACTTAGACCGTTAGGGTCTATTAGGCACAATTCTTCACATGGGCATACCTAGGGGGTCCTGCTGTCATTTGTTTACACGAAAAATGCCCATTTAAAATTGTGAAATAAAGATATCTCACATAAGATTGAATGTTGAGATTTGACCCTAATAATTTTTATTTGTAAAAATACCTCCCACCATATTTTATCCGGTCACTGTAAAACAACAACTATTCTAGAGTCTTCTGTCATTGTAAAAAAATGCACAAATAAAGATTAAAGTACACTTTTTAGAAAAATTATAAGCTTTCAAGTTAATTTTAAGTAGCATATGAGTATCGTAAGAATTACCAAATAATATTATCGTATATAATGTTTTAAAAGAGAATAAGTATATTGTTTTCATAAAATAATATCAGTAATCAACAGTCAAATTAATTTATTCGGTATAGATCATTAATACCTATTTCTAGAGCTCTCTGGTAGATATTGTCCACCAAAATCGTCCCTTAAAAGTTGCGAAATATTAATTTTCCATATAAGATTCAAAATTATGAAACAATATGTTGTACGCGCAGATTTGCAGGAAGTGGCTAATTTGCTAGTTATTTTTAAAATCACCTTGAATTTTGAAATAGAAAATATTAACCGCACCAGCTAACTATATCTTTGATCAACAACATTTTGAGCACTACATATACCTTGAATTTTGTTTCCGAATTTCTATTATGTGAGCAATGGAAATTAGGGCAACCCAGCTTGAAGAAAAATAAGTATTTGTACTCTACGGTGAGCGCCCACATTATGAAGGAAGCAGTTGTTCAATGAAGAAACAATCAACCATAATTGACATACTTTGATTAGAAACATAACCTTAAAGCAACAACAAATTGAAGCACACACGATGTTCGAACGTACACAACACACGTGCATGTTATACATACCAACTCTTTCACATGTAAATTGGAAGTAAGATTATCTAGGGTAGCTTGCAGACAACACAAACTCTTCTTCTTGACTATATTGTCTGCTTGTCTCCTCTAAGCTTGTCCTTATGGGTGATGTATACCTCATTGTCGAATAACTCCCCTCATATGTTGCACCCCGAACCCGAAAATGCTCTTTGGGTCCTTGAAGTGCTTCTAGTGTCATCTCCACTGACCTCATAGTTGGTCGCTCCTCTGCTCTTAGCTTTATGCACGACATAGCTAGAGAAGCTACCACTTCAACTTGGCTACCTCCATCCTCAATTACCCGTGAATCTAGTATTTCTACCAATTTACCTTCTGCAAGTAGTTCTACAAATCGCGCAACTAGCCCATCACCGGTGGAGGATCTATATATAATTGGCATCTTCCTTGTAAGCAACTCAATGAGAATAACTCCAAAGCTATAAACATCACTTTTTTCTGTAAGACGACCACAATAAAAGTACATAGGATCTAAATATCCCAAAGTTCCCTGCACCACTGTTGTAATTGTTGTTTTATCTTTAGGAATGTACCTTGAAGCTCCAAAGTCAGACACCTTCGCTGTCAAAGCATCATCAAGAAGTATATTGCTGGACTTTATATCTCTGTGTATCACGGGGATGGAAATACCCGAGTGAAGGTAAGAAAGGGCTTTGCCAATTTCTGTTGCGATCCTTAATATGTCTCGCCAAGGTATCGATCTTAATGGTTTCTTGTGAAGATAATCACATAGGGTTCCATTGGAGATGAACTCATAAGCCAACAAGGGGACTTCTGTCTCAAGACAACATCCAAAAAGCTTTACAATGTTCCTATGATTGATCTGTGAGAGTATGGAAACTTCATTTATAAACTCGTTAATCTCACTCTTGACCACAATATTTGACTTCCTGATTGCAACAACATGCAAGTCTGATAAAATTCCTTTGTATACCGTACCATGCCCTCCACCACCAAGCTTACGAGTTGGATGAAACTTGTTTGTGGCCTTTTCTAGCTCCCTTAGAGGGATGATCATCCTCTCTGCAATATCTGACCTATGAGATACCAATTTTTGCAACAATTGTCCACGATTTTTATTGAAGAACTTTTGTCGCAACTTTTGTTCCTTTTGATGCTTAAGCTTGCGGAATATTATCTTGGAGGCAAGAAACAAAATTAGAATAGTTGGGCCACTAGAAACTGATAGGCCAATGATTAAACCTGCAAAAAAATAGACCGATGGGCAAGTAATTAGCGTATGCGGTAACATGACTCGATAGTAGTTAAAGTAACAGATATGAGGTTGGAATCAGGGTTTGAAGTCTTGTTAAGGGGAGAGGTATCACCCAATTGACAAAAATCTACTAACTATACCAAGTTCAGATTTCAAAAATATCAAAATCTAGCCAAAACTATGTCTCAAATGAAGTGACCTAACTAATAGGAGGGGTCAATATTTAACCCATGTAAGTCCATTAACCAGCCACTAACCAAAATCACAGGTGGTTCGCATGAGAAAGGACGTAGATAATTGTATGTGTGGCTAGAGAGATTGTTGGCTTCTATTTCGAAATTTTGAAATGTATTTATCGGTTAGTAGTAATGTAAAAAAAGATATGTTTCATGGCATATTTAATCAAACATATATTCTTATAAGTTTCTTCTTCTATGCATCTTAAAAAACAATTCTTATTGATTGTGTTCTTTACTCCTCTATAAAATGGCGGCATTTCGTTCATATATAATTGTGGGTTGCAACTGATTTATTTAGGGATTGTTGCCACTTGAAATAATATATTAGTATAATCTAGATTTATTATAAGAAATCTGAATTGTATCTGCATCGCATAACTAATTTTTAGATTATTTTCATGCAACATGCTCTATTTTTATGGTTCATGAGCTAATACATAGAACTAAGTATGAGAATATTCTTTGCATTTAAGACAACAAGAGGGATTTTAAAAATATGATTGAGAAGGAACAATAGATTTTCACCTACTACCTCAATATTTCCAAAATGTTAGTGTCTTTATGATTTCAAAATCAAACTTTTAAGTCTTACAAATGTGTAAAAAATATAGCAACATATGTGACACCAAACAAAGAAATCTTGACAACACATTTCATAATTGATTTAATGCATCTAATTCGCTCTTAAAGATGTTGGCATATTTTATATATAATTGGTTAGGCTTAAGGATGTTTTACTTAGAACAAATCTAAAACTTACATTTTGGAAAAGGAGGAAGTACATGTTTTAAAACTATTGTGCTTTATCTAAGATAGTTTATATACATGTTGATCCCAGGGAAAATAAGAAGCAATAGTGCCCACCTGTGTTTATGGACGGGATACAACCATTTTTGTGGGTGGCATTTCCTTGGTATCCTTGTGAGCACGTGCAATCGAAAGATCCAACCATGTTGGTACACTTGCCGAAGCATGGATACAATTGTGGCTGTTTACACTCGTCGATATCTACATAAAACATGGAAGCATTAATCCAAGTTGACCGTGTGAATCTATATTTTGGCTTGTCGTGGTAAAAAACTTCATCATACTCCCCGAAGCAGATTTATTAGTATATGCACATGTAGTGGGGGTTAATGTATGTGTCTGTGTGCAAGTTAAATATAAGAAAAGCTCCAAATAGCACCTTGGGAAACTTGTCAACCTATCCGTGTCTACAATACATGTTTAATTTTTCTTGCAGGAGTAAGAAATATAAAGAGAATAGTTCTACTATTTAAAAAGACATAGGTTCTCTCGGACTCATCCTTCATCTACCCTTACGTATGTTTCCAAATCCCATTTCCTCTTTTGATTTTCCCCTTCCTTCTCTGATATTTTCGTCGTTTTCCGTCAAAACTGGCTCAAATGCCCCACCTCTTATTGACATGCCAAATAATTATGATTTTTTGGTAAGCTAACAGATGTTTGCCAAATAAAATTCTGGTACGCGATCACATAAATATGGGCATGTAAATCATGAGCTAAAATACAAGAATATTTTTACTCTCATTCCAACACACGGTCAATTATTTAGTTGAAAAAAAGGCATAGCAATGTTTTTCTTATAAAACTTAGGGCGAGTGAGAAGTTCTTATGTCCTGTCAGTGAGTGAGAGCCGCCCGATTTTGATCCAATGGGGAAAAGTAAAAATATTCTAAAATTGACTCCCATTAAAAAAAGGGTCAATACTAACACGATCTAACGTATTCGAGCATCAACAAAGCAAACTGAAAATTGATTTAGTTCTTAGAGGATGAGGCAAAAGTTGGTGCTAAGTAAACTTTTGGGTCATGGAGTCGGTTGAAAACGATGGATTGAGAGAGGCTAATGAAAATACTCCTAGAGTTCCAGTTGAAGGGTGAGTCTAAAGAAATCAAAAAATAGCAGGGCCGCTCTCAAGCCATGTAGAGCTGCTCCACCACTTATATTTTGGAATCTTTGTAAGATATCTAACCCCATATGCCATTTGGTCACAATTTATGTTGATTTAAAGCTGGAAAGTGAGAAATTTTAAGAGTTGAGTTGAGTTGCAGCATGGTTAGGTTTCTTAGCACTAGCTTGGTTGGGACATTAGAGAAATTCCAATCGATTCCAATAAATATAGCCTCCAAAATTTCTTAGAGCGTTCTCCAAAGATTGTGGAGGCTGTAAGTCAATGCACAAAGTAGATTCCCCAAACTCGAGCCTTAAAAAATATTACCCATATTTCTATGCATATAAACTCTATCCTGACTCAATCACATCAAAGTAATACAAATTTTTCAACATTTCGACATCAAACAATTCAACAACATTTCAAATCAATAGGTTCACAAAGATTGAATTCAAATTTAGATGAAATGAGAAGGTCTGAATGCAACAAACAATGCGATAAAACAAATAATTGACGACAACTGATAATCTGATGAAGCAAATACTCCAAATTAACTAATAATCATGATTGAAAGAATGTAAACACACTATCATTCATGTACCCGACATTGATGCTCAATGGTATCTTCACAGAGATGGTCGTGAGATCTCTCTCTTCAAACATCTGGTACACCTCAAGAAAATCCTAAATGTGGTTCCAAAAAGGTTTGATAGTTTGGCCAACATAGCCATAGTCGTAGTCCAATGTGCATACCTCTCATTCTCAATGATCATGTCTAGAATCACACAACCATCCATAATATTTTCCAATGTCTTATTGTCCCAGAGGCGAGTAAGACCTCGATCATTGCAAACTAAGCTCGCAACAATCCAAATGCTCCACCAATATCCTTCCTTGCTCATTCTTGACACTTGGCAAAGTGTTTATTTTTATTACCTTTATGATTTGAAATTGTCTAGAGAAATGTTGACCATGAATACTAATGCCATCGGCAAGATAGTAGCCTTGATCTAGGCATGTTACATTAATGTTGCATGTCAGAGCATCACCACCTACTAGCCTAGCAGAAAGATGAGATCTCTGCAAGTCATTGATGCCATTGTGAGAACCATGATGCCAAAGTAGAAATGGTGAACCTACAAGTCATCGGAGGTAATCCCTTCATAAATGATAGTTGGATCATGGCAATTTGTGGTGAACTGTCCATGACATGCAGGGAAATTCTTCCAGCTCCAATATGTCCAGTCAATGCTTCTAAGCGTACCTGGTTAGCATCTTACTTCACCCATTGCTAAAATTCTCGACGTGTTATCAACATTGGGTGCCCTAAAATACTCTGCTCTGGAGACCCTGATTGCAACATCAGAAAACTTTCTCCCGTGCCTATGGATGTATCTTCGACCATTCAAAGATACTCATTGGTCCAATAGGCAATAGTACCATATGGAACCACCCAAAGTGTCGTGGTCACCTTCTAGGAACCAGTAAAGCCCATCAACCCAACTACATTTCTCCGTTGCATGAAGAATGTTTTGTTAGCTTACCTGAATCCGTCAATTTTCTAAGACAATCTATTGATATCTGTAAGTGTTGCTAGAAGAGATGCAGCGATTATATAGGATGAGCATATCATGGTCGTCGGCTCTATTATGGTGATATGTCAAACGACTGAGCTATGACTCTGCACAACTTTGTTAAGATTCATGCATTAGCCAATGCAACCAAAAGTCTGAACTGATGGAAAGGGCTAGTACAATCCATATATACTGTAACACCCCCTCTCACGTGTGACGGGGAAGACAAGTCAACATGTGCAACCGGAAGAGAGCGACGACGTGCGAAACTCAGGTATGACTCAAGAGGCCTCTACGTGGACACAAAGGGGGCTATCAGCAATTTTTAAATAAATTGCGCAAACCAGGACTTGAACTCAAGACCTTAGCTCTGATACCATATTAAGCTTCATGCACTAGCCAACGCAACCAAAAGTCTGAACTGATGGAAAGGTCTAGTACAATCCACATATACTATAACAAACTCATCTTCCTACCACTTACCATCATCCATAGAGTAACCATCAACAAAATCTCCTCATCTTCCTCATTGAATAACTGAACATCAAATTGTCCATCGATGGTGAATCATAAAAATACCCTCTACTATGATTACATATAGAGAAATAGTGAATCATATGCCATCTGCGCGAATCTACAAGAAGCTAGACTACTAAATACGAACAAATTTGAGGCAAATATACCTTGGGGCAATTCTTCGAACACCCTGAGTGTCGAGGCCATCGCTGGCCAAATGCAAGAGCGGAGGCAAAGAGAGGTTAATAAGTGGTGGGAGAAGGTTGTAGGTGGCACACGGCGGTCGTGGTGCTCGGGAGTTAGCTCGGGTGTGTGAGATGTAGCACATGTATAAGCTAGATGGCACGAAGGATGGAATTGCGATGGCGGATGGCTGGTACGTGACTCTGGCTTACTCAACAAGTCGGGGAATGGAGGACTCATGCCAAGGACAGGCCCACATTGAGCTCTTGTGATGTGACCATGGCGGTGGTCAGGAAAATGGTGGGAAGCTTACACGGGGATAGCCATGGTGCGTTGTATGGCCTGGAACGGGTCATGCGTGGTAAGTGCTGCCAATGGACACTAGTACGGAGGCTAGAGGTGGAAGGAAGTGGTCCTGAAATGTCCCTCCCATATATGCCTCGTAGTTGACGGGCACACCATACCGCTGATAGAATGGCACCAAAAAAATATGAAATAAATCAAGGAAACATGCGAGCACCCGTGGCAAGTATAGGACTTGACCTTGGTGGGTTGGTTCACCCACAAAGAATCTAACCACCTAACCTATGCTTAATTTGCCAGGTGTCAATATGGATGAAGAGAGCACTATATTCTCTCCACCAACTAATACTATTTTGAGATGTCCACCAACCAATATGGATGAGAAGAGCTCTGTATTCTCTCCACCAACCTCCAAATACAGAGTCTATGTGTTGTTTTTCCAGCACGCTCCAAATATTATAGGTATGGAGGGATGGTTAGGGAACCTGGTAGAGTGCGAACCAACCTATGGTTAAATGGTTAGGAGGGCAGTGGTATTCTCAGCCCACCAGGGTTCAAGTCCTAGATTTGACATTGGTGCTCGCAGTTTCCTGAATTTATTCCATGCCTTCCAGTGATGTGTTTTCTGTGGAAGAGACATTTCCATCAACTATGAACGTGTCTATGGAGACTTCATGAATCTCAAGATGATGTGTCAGCTCATTCTCTCGAGTGTGCTCATAGGGGTAGGGTGTGCGTGCGTGTATTTATATGGGTGAGTGTATGAGCGTATGCATCTGTACTCTTGGTAGAGTGACTTTTTAAGCCAAGAACTTCAAACTGGCGGATTTTATGTAGTTCACGTGAAAAACAAGTAGAATATACCACGTAGCCTATGCATATCATAGATTTTTTAAAACAAATATTTAATACGAAGGTCAAACCAAGTCTTGATTTGGCCAGGCCGACGACGGGAGAAGCCGTGGGTGTCGCTTCCTTTTTGAAGGCATCGTTGCGGCCACTATTCTTCCTTTGGGAGACTCCGGGTGAAGACCTAGATCGTACATGGATTGGGCGGCGGCGACACTCCAGTGTAGTTACCTTCTTGAAAGCGGTGCGTTGGCGTCCTCATTTTGTCAGGCACGGCTTCACTTTGTGTTTAGCCATTCTTCTACATCGATTGTATCTTGCCTTGAGTGCGTGTGTTGTGGTGTCGAGTGTATGTGCTAGGTTGTATGGTCGTTGCTTTAAAACAGAGCACGAGCCTTTTTGGGTTTGTAACATCCCAAAATTCTAAATTTTGGAATGTTAAATTAAATAAATTATTATGATTGTTTGTTTGATTGATTGATTGAAAGTGAGTGAAATTTGAAACTTTTGAAAGTTGAATGAGAGGGAATGAAATGACTTTCCCAAACTTTCAACCTTGCATTTTATCTTGATGAATTCAAATTCATTTCATCACAAAACTCTAGAGTGAAGATGATATGACTTCTTCCATTTGAAATGAAAAGGATTTTGAAAAGATTTGAATTCCATCTAAAAATATTTCAAATTCAAAACTTTATGCAACTCAATGATTTTCGGAGAGAAAATAAAATGACTTCTTCAATTATATGAAATACAAGTTGGAAGTTAAAAAGAATCAAATTGAAAGTCATTTGGAACTATTTTGAAACCCCCTTTCAATTCGAGTCATTTGGGTTTTTATTCAAATTATTTTTCTCCAAAAACAAAATATATCGAAATAAGGGTAAAATGATTCCCTTCCATGGAAAATTAGGAGAAAACAAATTTGAATCTTTTTTTGTATTTTAAAAATGTTTTTATTGGGTTTTAATGCAACAGTAGCACTGTTTGCTTTATTTGAATTTTTGTAGATTTTATTTGAACTTGAAAAATAGTTCATACTGTGGGAAATGTTTTTCTGTAAATTTTGATAAATTATATGCCTATATATAACTTTTTAATTGTTGTCTATAAAAAAACCTTTGAATAGTACCAGGCCGAAGCCCAGCACTGCTCCTCTCTCTCTCTCTCTTCCCGCACCGCACCGGCCCACTAGCCTTTCGGCCCACAGCCGCACGCACGCCCGAAACGCCTCCGCCCCGGTCGCCCGATCCCCTCGCACCCTTCCCGCGCTCACTGACGGGTGGACCCCGCCGTCGCCTTCCTTCTCCGCACGCAACCGCCGCAGCAGGATCGTGCTGCCGCCACCGAATCCCGGATCTCTCGGGATCGAGAATTCCCTCGCCCAACCCCTCCTCCAAGTCTCTGGGCTATAAAAGCCCCTCCATCTCGTCCGACCCCCCCTAAAGCCCCTACTCCCGTCGCCTCTCCCTATCGCAATACCTCGCCGGAGTCCGCCTCTGCCACCGCACGCCACCCTCTACCGCGTTGCTTGGTGCCCTTGTTTTTGCTAGAGGACCGACACCGACAACCAGCTAGCACCGTCTCTGCCTAGAGCTCGCCGCCGAACGTCTCCGACCACCTCCGCCGATGCCACGACCACCGTTGAGGACGCCACGTGCTGCTGCACCTGCCTGTGGCCTTGTTCGACATTGCCGACCACCGTCGACGCCTCACCGTCGACGCCCGAAGCCCACGCCGCCGTCGGCCACCGCGGTGAGCCCTCCACTCCTCCATCGTTAGGTCTGCATCAGACGCTTTAGATTAGACTTTTTTTTATTTGCCCCGAACTGTTTTCTATTACGGTTAGGTCATCCGCCCGGTAGATCTTTTCGGACACCGCTTTAGTCCAGCCGCGTAGCGCCACGTGGCCTTTGGCCGATCATAGTGTTATTTTCTGTTTTAGTTTCAGAATAGTTTCTGTTTTAGATTCAAATTGAGTGATTCTTTTTGCTTTGTGTCAAAAATTCGTTGAAGTTTCTGTTTCTATACTTAGTTTTCAAATTTGAGTAGCTTAAATTTGAATTATTTCAAATATGCTTCAAACACTGTTTTGGCTCTAGTTTGAATTCTAGAATAGATATTTAATTGTTTCTTTTTGCCACTGGTCACTAGGACCTTTGCCTATCCAGTAGTGTTGAGTATTTTATTTTTTTACTTTATTTTAAAATTAGGTTTTTAGCAAAACAGTATTGTTTTAGTTATAGTTTTGTTTTAGTCCTTTCTTTATAGTTTTAATTGTTTTAAAGTATTTCTTTTTTTCACTTTTGACAAATTTAGTTTTGTTTCTGTTAGTCAACAAAAGAAAATTTTATTTTATTTTAAAAAAATATTTTATTTTGTTTTGTATGAAAACTTGTTTAGGTCATAGTTAGTGTTTCATAAAAGTTTTTTTTATTTGTTTCTTTTTGCAAATAAAACTTTATGAAAAATACTTTCTGTTAATTTAGTTGTTTTAATTTTTATTTTCTGTTAATTTATTAGTTTAGTGTTTTAATTGTTGTTAAGTTTTACTTAGGGCAAAGCTATATTAGATGTTGGTAGCAAAGTCCTAGATCTTTGTTAGTAGTTTTTCTTTCTAATTTTATTTGAAGCTTCCTTGGAATTTGTTTGAGTTTTTTTATTAAGTTTTCTTTGTTGTTTTAATTGTTATTTTGATTGCTAGAAGTTGCTTGCTAGAATGGGTGCTTATGTGAATGCTATGTTTGACTTGTATAGATTTTCTTCGGAGAGTGACAAATAGTTCTATCAAGTTTTCTGAGAGCGTTATATCTTCATCAAGTAATATCAGGCAAGTTCACTTTGACCATGCTTTTTATACCTATGTTTTATTGCATTTAGTCTCACCATTCATAATCCCTCCAGTAGTGGTATTGAATCCTTGTAGTTGAGTAGTATGCATGAGATAGGAACCCATCACCCTGTTACCAAGCCCGGGACATTATTGATTTTAATGCTACGCTTTAGTATACGTGGTTTGGTGTGAGTGCACGAGAGTGGTGTGAAGAAGAAGGACTCTACGTCAATGACGGCAACTCCATGATGGCATCTGCAAGGACTGCATGTTCGAGGCCTCAAGACTTCAAGGCTCAAGACAAGAATTCAATACACACTACTGGGTGAAGGACGATTGACGAGCACCCTGCAGCAACCAGTGAATGGCCGGGATGCATGGAGAAGCGTCATGACATCTTGCGGAAAGCTTCACCCAGACTCAAAGAGACGGAAGAATACTTCATGCCTGGAAGCTTACCTGTGCAACCGCAAGTCACTATGGGCTCTAGCTTGGTTGACCTTAGTGGTGACTCTGGCTGGGACGGTGCTAGCAGATGTAGAACTACGGTAGGATTGTATGAGCACCAGACAGTGGTCAGGGGAACTCTTCGGAAGACCATGTTTCGGTCGTCTTGTTCTCAAACACCCCGAAGTGCGAGAACGTAAAAATAGGGATCGAATCTTGCGGGTAAAGGGTACAAACCTCTACAGAGGGTTAAAACCTAATCGATTAGCCGTGTCCCCGGTTACGGACAATTTGAGCATCTGGACCTGGATCTATCTCGGAACTCTCAACACCGGACTGATAACTTAATTGTGGGCAACTTATGATGATTTGGGCTATGAGACATCGGTTGGCGGAACCATGTCCTGATAGAAAACTCTGTAGTACAGACTCTGGTTATATCCTTTGATGTAGGCAAAAATAAAATCAGCTTTTATGCAAAACAAACTTAGACACGGAGCCACAAAGCCATATTGCATATAGTATAGTTTTATCATATGTTTTCTCTTATTGTGATCTTGCCGGTATATTCAATGTACTGACCTACACGGCTGCAACGTATCATGTTGCAGATACTTTCTTCCGATGAGTAAGAGTACGATATAGGGTTACGGTCTACACTCAACCCGTTGATGGCGTTGATGGGACTCCACCACCGACTATTTGTTTCCGCTGTGACTTATGAGGTATATATCAGATTTACGTTATCCATACATGTGATTGCACTCTGATATATATATTGACGTACTGTGTGTGTGCCAGCATACTGCAGGGATGGCACGGATACACAGAGGCTTGATCGTCTGAGGCTGGGTCACTACAGGGTATAGGATGAGCATAGCATGGACTGCTTCTCCACTCCGATGACATGTCAAACGACCGAGCTATGACCCTACACAATTCGCCTTCCTCCCATTTTCCATTAGCCATTGAGTAACCATCAACAAAGTCTCACCGAATAAATCAACATCAACATAGCCCAAGGATGATGGTGAATCATCACAAAAATCCTCTACCATGATGGCATCCAGACAAATCGTGAATCATATGCCATCTACACGAATCTACAAGAAGCTAGACTACTAAATATGAACAAATTTCATGAAAATATACCTTGGTGCAAGTGGTTGAACACCCTGAGTGTCGAGGTCATCGTTGGCCGAATGTAAGAGCGGGGGTAGGGAGAGCTTCATAAGTGGCGGGAGAAGGTTGTAGGTGGCATGCGGCAGCCCAGGGTGCTCTGGCTGGGCAAATGGTGGCTAAAACGGAGTCTGCAGTTTGTCACCCATGAGAGTTAGCTCGGGTGGGCGAGACGTAGCGCATGTAGAAGCTAGATGACATGAAGGATGGAATTGCGATGCTGGATGGCTAGTGTGTGACTCTGGCCTCCTCAGCAGGTTGGGGAACGGATGAGGACTGGGGGCAGAGACAGGCCCACGTCGAGCTCTTGTGGTGCGGTCATGGCGGCGGTCGGGCAAATGGTGGGAAGCTCACATGGGGCAGCCATGGTGTGTGGTAGGGTTAGGAACGGGTCGACGGTGATGAGTGCGGCCAACCGACATTCATATGAAGGTCAAAGGTGGAAGCAAATGGTCCTGAAATGTTCCTCTCTGCATAGTCCTCATAGTTGGGAGGCATGCCATACTATTGAAACAATAGCGTCGAAGAACCTGGAATAAATCCAGAAAAATATGCAAGCATGCTTGCGACCTCTAGAATTTGAATCTGGGTGGACTGATTCCATCCCAAAGAGTCTATCTAACCACCTAAGCTATGCTTAGTTCACCGGGTATCAATATATGGATGAAGAGAGTTATATATTCTCTCCACCAACCGATTTTTTTTCTTTGAGATGTCCAAAACCAATATGAATGAAGAGAGCTCTATATTCTCTTCACCAACCTCTAAATATGGAGTCTATGTGTTGTTTTTGTAGCACGCTTCAAATATTACAAGTATGGAGGGTCGGTAAGAGAACCTGGTAGAGTGACTTTTTAAGCCAAAAACTTTAAACTGGCAGATTTTATGGAGTTCGGGTGAAAATCAGGAAGGCCACCTGAAATTTCCCGTGTAGCCTATGCATATCATAGATTATTATTTTATTTATTAAAAAACAAACACTTTTTACGAGGGAAAAATAAACATCTAACAAGGTTATATGTATATTTTCACCATCATGGCCCGTTGCCAGGGCTACGCCACTAGTGGAGAATAGGGAATGTACTAGAGTTGCACTTACCCGTGCATCCGTTTTCAAGGTATGGGTTGCCCTCGTAGCCTTGGTTGCATATGCAGTAATATCCCTCCCCGTTGATGGACTTGGCGCACTTACTGCGGTTGCTCATGCAAGCATATCCCGGCGTCTTGTCCGGCACAGGGCAGAACGAGGAGCTACTATCATTATTGCGGATGGCCCAGTCGAGCCAAAGTGGCATGCTCCATCGCTTGGCCGGGTTCGGCTCCGGGGTCCTCTCCAGGTCGGCGGCCTTGAAAATGTAGTGGTCCTTCTGCACGATGAAGGCGTAGCTGCAGGAGTGCCTCAAGTCGATGCGGGCGCGCGCCCATTTCTCGAACCTCATCCTGCTGGGGCTTTTGAGAAACGGCGAGATTTCGCTGCGGCAGCATCCGACGCTGTTGCACTTGCCGTCCCGCGGCTTCTGGACTCTGTTGCAGTAGGCCACGCACCCGCTGAAGTAGGCGACGGTTGACTCGTTCCAGACCTGGGACCTCGACTTCCCTCTGCTGGCGTAGACGAGGGTGTTGCAGCCCAGGACAAAGAGCTCGTTGGCGGTCTCGTTGAAGCGATACACGCCCAGCTCGTTGATGTTCAGCCTGCCGTCGAAGCTGCCGGCAGTCTCGTTGCCGGCCGCGTCGAAGCACCGGTGCGCCACAGGCACCAGCACCTGGACCTGCGCGCTCGGCGCCACTGTCAGGTGCAGCACGCGCACGGGCTCGGCGAGGTGCGTGTCACCTCCAACGGTGGCGTCCGGCAAAAACGGCGTCATGTTGTTGCAGGCGATCTCGAAGCCGGGACGGAAGCAGCCGGCGCCGATGCCGAACGGGTAGGGGACGTCGACGCCGCCGCATCGCGCCTGGCAGCCTGGCTTCGCCACCAAGGAGCTAGAGGCGGTGGCTGCCCATGCAGCTAATTGCAATAGCACCAACATCCATGCCATCGACGACATTGTTCGCTCAATATGGAGTGGGTGGTTAAGCCGCCGTACATTCTCTTAAATACAAGGGCGAGCCCTGCACTTACCACTGGCCGTCCTTGAATTGAAAATTGTATTTCTGAACACGTGAAGAAAAACCCGAAAGCAATCACACGTACTCCACCCAAAAATCTAACTGGTCTTGTTCATTAATTAATTTACAATCTAATTAACTACAGCATGGAGTTGATAGCTTGTTGCCGTAAGGGAGACTCGTAATTCATCACTCTACTAGCCTATTAAGGTGGGCTATTTGCCGGCAGCAGGGGCAATGGCCGGCAACAATACATTTGTAATCTATGTGTGACCTCGTTGCCTGACTCGGAAGGATTCAAACAGTCAAAGGTAACTTGGTCCGTGAACACATTTTAAGTTTTTAACAATCCAGGACGGCAGGCAAGGCGAACGTTTCTACGGAGTTTACACATTGGTTGACGAAGGCTACTGTACGTAGCATGATAGCAGCCTCACGATTTTCATGCCTCGCTATGTTTGGAACCCTAGTGCAAATCGAGTCAAGGGACACAGTACTAAACGTTAATCCGTCCCAAATGTTGTTTATGCCACTATCGTGCAGGGAGTTGATGGCTTGTTGCCATAAAGGAAAGGCTCACTATGCTAAAAAGAATGGGAAGGCCGAAAATTCATCTGATAACTAGACAGCGGGAAATCTAAAATGTGAAATTAAGGACCGCTAGCCAGCCGACGGTTATGCTACTTATGTGCTGTACTGGAAACCGGGACCCAGCTCCTGCTTCGTACGCGAGGCATTGGTGCCCGACTCGGATGCCCTGGATTTGATGGAGCTCCTTGAGGCCATAGCTACTCAGACTGGATGAAATCGCACCCTTCTGGCTAATCCTTGCGGCGATGTTATGGACGTTGTGGACGACTCGTTATAAAGTGGTGATTGAGCAGGTCTTTCCACGACAGGCCTTTGTCATGTTCTTCAAATTTCTTACTTTCTTGCAGCACTGACATCCGCTTTTTAGGCAGCATGACCGCGACCGGCTTGGGCTAATGTTGGATGCGTTTCTGGCTATCGTGCGTCGCTTATCATCTTCGTAGAGTTGCCTTGCCTACTGCCACTTGGTGGATTTTTTTCTATTTTTTTTATGCTTTTGTTGGGCGTGATTGTGTTATTGCCCCAACCGTCTTATCTACTATGACGATTGGACTTGGTTGTATGAATATTTGCTTTATTTATAAAGCGGTGTGAAAGCCCATTTTGAGACAGAGCCGGCTGATGAGGAAAGTCTTTGGCAGTAATACATTTTTATTCTCTATATTACCATATATATATGACCTCATTACCCAACCCGAGAGCAATCAAGATAGGAAAAAATATGATCCGTAAAACATATTAAGACCTATTAGAGTGTGTCGTGGATTTTTCATGGCAGATGTCCTATTGAAAGGACTTAAGCGTGGAGCCATCACAACGTTGGTTAGCTCGAAGGGATTGAACGGGAAAAGGGACACGAGTTTACCCAGGTTCGGCCCCTCTCAACGAGTTAAAAGCCTACTTTCTGCTTTGTGTTGTATTGCTTGAGTATCGATTACAAGGGAGCGGAATCGGTTAACCTAGCTATCGATCAGTTGTTTTTCTCTCTGTTAACCCGCCACAGGGTCTCGTCATTATATACACAGGTCGAGGCCCTGGACTTACAAGAGTTCAAGCCGGATCACACAACGTAACCGACTCGGGTTCTAAGTCGCCTTGCCTTACCAGGCAAGTCACCATAGGGCGGCTCCCATCGCCGGGTTACAACACCTTTCTTCGGGTCTTGGGCCTTTAAGCGGCCCATCTTGTAAGTCGCCTCCAATCTCCAGTTCATATCTTCTCAGGCCTACTTGGGCCTTCCCCTATGAGCCGCCAACCGTGTAATCCGGCCCCTCTTGTGCGGGTCACACCGAGGGGTTATATCCCCAACATTAGACCCCCAGATTGATTTGAACCTATTCATGTCAATCTCCACTGCATTCGGTTGGCGAGTCTTCCTTTGATGCCTCCCAATAATTGATCTGAACCGGATTTTTGTAACCCGCCATGACGTCATGCGAAATAAATACAGAAAATCTTGTGACATCACAATGGATCTTTTTTTTGCATTAACTGGCCGCCTGAGAATCGAGGCGCCTCCACTATTGAGATAATCATGAAGCCTCCTTGGTTTCCGCGCCTGCCATTTCACTATTTCACTTTTCCCTTATAAATAGGCAGGGGTTTCCCTTTTTCACTGTTACTCCCTTTCACCTCCACTTATTCTTCCTCCTCACGACCTCCGCCGCACCAGAGCTCCGCCGCCGCCATTCTTCACAGAAGACCTCAACAAGGCCGCTGCATCACCCTGACTGAACCAGAGAATCGCGACGTACTCCTGCTATTCATCAATATCGCCAGGTATTCATCTTTTCCTACTTCAGATCTGCATTAGGTTGCCCTAGTTCATTGGTGTTCATCGTGTTTGTCCAAGTTCATCGTAGTTCATCCACCTGTCACTTAGTTCAATCCAAAAAAATACTGAAGCCATGCGGTAGCAGTTTTAGCATTTATCTCAAATTGTAGATGCATCCTTTCTTCCTGAGATTCAATCCCTAGCTACTAGTTCCTTCGCGGCCATGCTTTAGGTTTAAATTTTTCCCTTTCTAAACAGCGGCAGATCTGTGATTGTAACTGTAATCTGCAATACTTGTTTGTCCAATACTTAGTAGAAATTCCCCAATCTCGAATCCATGGATATTTGACCCGCCACTCCATGTTTTGAGTGGCTTAAATAACGACCTTATAACCTGTCATCTCCTGTCTGGCTTAACCATGAAGTTGTGATTTACCAGCAAACAGCCGGTTTAAACATGAATTTTGTAATCATTAGGTGGTTCATCACCATGATAATAACCTGCCATACTTTTGTTCCCAGGCCATAGCTCTTAACCCGCCAACAATGACTAAGACTCCCACTTCTTGTGACTGGGTTGTTTCTAAAGTTTCTGAACTTTCTCTCAATGAATATGTTACCATGGGAGTTTTGCCAGCAAAAGATATCATCCATTGGCGAGTTCCAGGGGTTGAAACTAAATCTCAACCTAAATAAGGTGAAGTTGTCATTTTTGTGGATCACCTCCTCCGTGGCTTCTCGCCACCCGGGTCAAATTTCTTCTGGGATGTTCTGCACTTTTATAAGCTTCATCCTCAAGACGTCATCTCCAATTCTATTTCCAATATATGCAATTTCCAAGTCTTCAGCGAAGTCTATCTTCAACAAGAGCCTGAGGTTGATCTGTTCAGAGAGTATTTCTATCTCAACCGCCAAACTGAAATGACAGATGGACCTAGCCTCGAGCTTGGTGGGATTTCCATTCAAAGGCGACGAGATATTGTTTTCCCTGCCGTTGTATTGCCTAGTCACCCCAAAGATTGGAATTGTACCTGGTTCTACTATCAAGACACATATCCGGCTGGTGAGAATCCCCTGTTGGGTGTTCGCCCTTTCGGCTTAGCCCTACCCACGCGCTTCCAGATTGTATCTCTGCTGCAGAACGGGCTAATATTCAGCCACCTTTTCAAAGATAAGAGCCCTGCTGGTCAACGGCTTATCTGGAGTGGACCTAGTCCGATGTTGGGTCTCTTGGAGAATTTTACCATTGAACCGGCGCAGCGGTTTAATGTGTAAGTATACAGGCGGCACAAAGGATCCTCAACGCTATAACCAAACACCCTTGACTGATGAGGAAGCCACTGCTATGGTTAAATCATTACTTGGAGACACTCTAGAAAATTGCCGCAAAGTGGGAGTAAACCTCTTCTGTACACTTAACCCGGCTCCACCTGTAAGTACCTTGGATAAACCTTCAACTTATTTGCCTATTTTCTTGTTTTTGCATAATACTTAACTTTATTGCTCATGTATCCAAAGGCAGACTCTCCCTTCTGGAGTAAGAAGCTACAAGTTGCCACCCCTGTCAAGAAACTTAAGACCAAGGCCCGTGGTCCAGGCCGTCATAAAAAACAAACAGCGAAAGATCTTCTCAAGCTAGATGAATCAGAGGTAGAACTTGACTCCCTTGGTTGTCTTGTTATGCAACTTATTGATGCCGACTCTTGTTAGAATGACGTGGAAACAAGTCAAGCTGACGTAGTAGAGGTAATCCCTGTCACTTCTGACTCAGAACCCTTGCCAAGACAAAAAAACTCGGCGGGTCATCCGAAAAGTAAGATTTTCACATTCTCTTGCTCATTTGGATCCCAATTTTCTTTTGAAGAAACAGCAACATGAATTAAGGAGTAAGACCCGGAGCGAGGGTACTGAAGATCTCGTCTCCGGCTTACCCAATACACCTGCCCCTCGCAAGAGTTGACGATGACATGCACCTATGGTAGGGTCCTAGACCTGATCTAGATGCCCTACCCAAGGATGCTATACAAAGAACCCAAGGTCTACAAAGTTCAGAGGAGGATACCGACTGGAATGGCACTATGTGCAAGTCACTCAACAGGAGATTCAGTCAGTTAACTCCACCCCACTCGATTGTCATAATTCACTCGGAAGTACATGATTTCACTCGAAGAACAAAAGACCTAGAGCCCCCCCGGGATGGCAACTGTCAGGCGATCAATTCATCGTTGTAAAGATCATTAACAACATGCGTTATCAGGAATGTACTCGTCTCATTGAACCCTTGATTAACTGAGGGTGACGAGGGGTCAGCGGACTCTATATAAGCCACCCCTCTCCTTCTGCACAAGGGTTCGCACCCCCAGTAACTCAACACTCCCAAGAAACAAAGCACCCACAGCACCGAGACGTAGGGTTTTTACCTCCTCTAAGAGGGGCCTGAACTCGTAAATCCGAGTGTACAATCTCGTCATAGCTAGACTATGCCCTCTCCTATGTACCACCTACCTCTACTGTCAGACCCGTTCCCACGACAAGCGTCGAAATGAGGTGCCTCAT